AGATCCCCAACAGTGTCGAACAGTTCTGCATACAGCTGCCATGGCTAATGATATTGAGCTGGTGAAGGTAATGTTTCCATTTTATCCTTTGACATGCCTGGATATATTTTATGGTTGCAGGAGACTGACAAAACTTGGTAGCTCAAACTTCTTAATGTTACCTGTTGTTTTTTTAGATTATTCTTGATGCTGGGGTGGATGTAAATATCAGAAACATGCACAACACAATACCTCTTCACTTGGCCTTGGCAAGAGGTGCAAAACCATGTGTTCAATTACTCTTATCTGCTGGAGCAAACTGTAATTTACAGGTTGGCCTTCTCCCTGTGTTACTTAATGCTGTTTAATGCGATTGAATAGAACTTGAAACAATGTTTCAAATGGTTGTGTTGTACTTGAGAACTCTAGAGATACTCAGTAGCCAACAGCTACTATAGGAGAAAAACAGCATTAAGTAATTTACAGGTTGGCCTTCTCTATGTGTTACTCTAGAGATGCTCAGTAGCCAACAACTCCCTTCGTATTGAGGATGGTCAGAGATAACTTGGGGATAATGCCTTTCACATAGTTGATGGATGATCTTTTTTCCCCCCATATAAGTACTTCTAATCTTTTATGTGCTTCCATCTTGAAGTTTTTCTTGGGTGATTGTCATCAGGATGACGATGGTGACAATGCATTTCATATAGCAGCAGATGCAGCAAAGTTCATACGTGAATGCCTTGATTGCATTTTATTGATATTAAAATATCCGGGTGCTGCTACTTCCATAAGAAACCACAGGCAAGTGTTGTGATTGTACAATTGTTTAATATAATATTTTCTAAGAAATTTTTTAAGAGCCACAATTTTCTTATTCTAGTAAAGTATCTTCATTAGCATTTTCATTTTATTTTTCTCATGTAGCACCTTTTATAAAATTAATGTACTTGCGATAACTTGCTTTTGGTTGTATTATTTTAATTTGTCAATGACTCTTAATGGTTGGGGAATAGTGGTAAGACATTTTGCGACTTGTTGGAAGCCCTACCTCGGGAATGGATTTTTGAAGAGCTTATGGATGCACTAGCAGAGAAGGGTATTCATTTGTCCCCAACAATGTGAGCAAAGTTCCATTATACTGGTCTTTACATTGCTGAATTTCTGCAGTTATTGAGTTTACTGATTAACAACTTTTGATTTTCCGCCTTCTAGATTTCAAGTGGGTGATTGGGTGAAATTTAAAAGTTGTGTGACAAATCCAGCATATGGTTGGCAAGGTGCAGGGCCCAGGAGTGTTGGATTTGTGCAGGGTTCGCACAGTAGTGGTGGTCTTTCTGTATCATTTTGCTCTGGTGTTGCACATGTTTTGGCAGATGAAATCATCAAAGTTATTCCTATGGATAGGGGACAGCTGGTCCAACTTAAACCTGACGTGAGAGAACCAAGGTTATATATCTTTTTTGGGTTTCACTTATTGATAAAAAGTTAAAATTGATGCCTAACTTTTTCTTATTCCTCTTTTGAATAAAAGTTGACAATATTTAGGTGCTACTATACTAAGGCGCTACAATTTATGGATGTCCTCTTCAATCACTAAACAGATAATGCCACATTTCATCTGGTGGAACATAAAAATAATTCATTTTTATTTCCATATTACATTCGACCTCTCTATTTTTTCTGGAGGAAGAAATATGCACTTCTAGGATGAAATTTACATGAATAAAGTCCATTAACTTTTGGTTTTTAATCAGTTGGAGCCTTGAAATATTGAACAAGTTGTTAGTTGCACCAATTGGAGAAACCTCAACTTGTTTAGTTTTGACTGCCTTGTGCTATGTGAATGTTTTTTTTTTTTTTTATCAGTGAAACATTGATTACAAAAAAAGGGTTTCATCAAGTGTGGGCGTAATTCTTATCAGGTTTAAGTTGCTTGGACAATCACGTGACAGCATTGCAACTGTGTTGTATATTGATGATGAAGAAGGAATTATACGAATTGGATTTACTGGTGCATCCAGAGGATGGCAAGCAGACCCTGCAGATTTTCAAAGACTTCAAGAATTCAAAGTTGGTGATTGGATCCGTGTACGTTATACCGTGTCCAATGCGAAGCATGGCTTTGGATCTGTAACTCCAGGCAGTATTGGCGTTGTGTATGGTATCAGACCAGACAGTAGTTTGCTGATAGAATTCTGCTATTTGCCTAGCCCTTGGCTATGTGAACCAGAGGAGATTGAACTTGTTGCCCCCTTCAAGGTGAGTGATTCGTTCTCCCTATATTTTTAGTATGGTTTAAATCTATTACCTGAGCCTCATTTCTTTTATCCATAGTGAACTTTGTATGTTTTACTTTTGTATAGATTGGAGACCAAGTATGCATTAAACGCTCTATATCTGAACCTAGATTTCCTTGGGATGGTGAGACGCACAATAGCGTTGGAAAAGTTAGTGATATTGAAAGCAATGGTCTCTTATTAATTGATTTACCAAATCGGCATGGACCATGGAAAGTAGATCCATCTGACATGGAGAAGGTGGAAAAATTTAAGGTATTTTCTTTTCGGGAAAGGCATCTTATAAACACTGGCACTTGAATGAAGCATGAGTTGTCACCTGATTTTCTTTTTGCCTCTGCACAAACAGGTCGGTGATTGGGTTAGGGTGAAAGGATCTGTACCCTCTCCAAAATATGGGTGGGATGATGTACCTCGAAGCAGCATTGGAATAATTTTTTCCTTAGAAGAGGATGGAGATGTGGATGTAGCATTTTGCTTCAGGCGTAAAACTTTCCCTTGCTCTGTCACAGACATCGAGAAAGTGCCACCTTTTGAAGTGGGACAAGAAATTCACATCTTGCCGTCTGTTACTCAGCCATTACTTGGGTGGTCAGATGAAACCCCAGCCTCTTCAGGAAAAACTGAAAGAATTGATATGGACGGGACTTTAAACGTTAGTTCCTATACTTCACTTTCATCCTGGAGTATATATTACTAGAGAAAGAGATATACACTTTAAAATGTTGTTTAAAGTTTTGTTTTTATTTTTATTTTTAAATTTTAGGTGAGGGTATCTGGAAAGAAAAAACTATGGAGAGTTGCTCCAGGTGATGCCGAAAAGCTATCAGGATTGGCAGTAGGTGACTGGGTCAGAATGAAGCAATGTTTGGGAACAAAATCGAATTATGAATCGAACAATAATGGGAAGGAAAATATAGCAGTAGTTTACAGTATACAAGATTACTCTTATTTGGAATTGGCGTGTTGTTTTCATGAGGGAAAGTTATTTGTACACTGCACAGAAGTGGAAAAAATTCCTCCCATAAAAATTGGCCAGTATGTGCATTTCCGTGCTGGATTGGCTAAACCGAGATGGGGATGGAGAGGAGCTAATCCCAATTCAAGGGGTGTTGTGACTGCTGTGAATGCTAATGGAGAAATAAGAGTTTCACTGTTTGGCTTGTCCGGGTGGTGGAGAGGAGATCCTGCAGATTTTGAGGTAGAGCAAATGTATGAGGTGGGAGAATGGGTGAAACTAAAAGATGATACTGAAGGACGGAAATCCTTGCCCGCCGGGAGTATTGGTGTTGTTCAAGGATCGAGTTATCATGAAAATGAATGGGACGGTTCTGTTCTTGTAGGATTCTGTAGAGAACCGGAATTGTGGGTGGGACACACTTCAGAACTTGAAAAGACAGACAGATTTTACGTAGGACAGCGTGTGAAGGTGAAGACGTCTGTATCAAATCCACGATTCAGGTGGTCGGGCCACTCTCATGCCGACATTGTTTCTATAACAGCAATTGATGCAGATGGCAAAATTAAAGTATCTTCTCCATCTGCTCAAAAGCCATGGACACTTGATCCCTCTGAAGTCGACCTGGTAGAGGAAGAGAAACTGAACATTGGAGACTGGGTGAAGGTCAAGCCATCTATTGTAATGCCTGTACATCATTGGGGGGAAGTTTCTCGTCAAAGTGTTGGGATAATCCACAAGATGGACGGTGGGGAGCTTTGGGTCGCCTTCTGCTTTATGGAGCAGCTGTGGATGTGCAAGGACTCGGAGGTGGAGAAGGTGAGACCGTTTAGAGTTGGCGATGCAGTGAGGTTTCGGGAAGGCTTGAAAATCCCTAGATGGGGATGGGGAATGGAGACTCATGCTAGTAAAGGGCAAGTAGTAGGCGTTGATGCAAATGGAAAAGTTAGGGTTAGGTTCAGGTGGAGGGAAGGACGCCCTTGGATTGGGGACCCTGCTGACCTTGTTCTTGACGAGAGTACGTGATCTTTGATTCTGGAGCCTAATTTAAAGGTCTGCATACCAATTCAACACTTCAGTAGAGAATGATCCCCAGGCATTACAAGCAGGTGGGACTTCGGGATACCGAAGCAATTCATCGATTCAAAACGGGGCGTTACTCCATGTACGCCAGCGTCGTATTGCACGGAGAATTGCAGTTGGAGATGAAGATGTGGACCATTCTGGGATATAGAGAGTAGCAAGAAACAGTAGAGCAATGCCCCTATTGGTATGGCATCATATTATCAATAGATGAGGTTTCTTTTATGTATGGTTGTGCTTGTAGATGAAGTTGAGTTATATATAAAGAAATGGTGAGTTATCCGAGGGGTGATACATTTATAACATATGTACATATAATTTTCAGGGTATTATTATTATATACACTGATGTTTCGATATTGTTGGTGCTATTGTAATTGTTACAACCATCATATCTTTGTGATCAAGACGTCTATATTTGTTCTTAAATATTGTTCAACATCATGTTATTAATATTCAATTGTACACATTTCTTTGAATAATTGTCAAAATTAGTTCCCAAAATTTTATTTTTGTAGAAGAGACCTTTCATTATTCTTATTATTTTGGATCTTTTCAAGATGATTGTGCTGCAAGCAAATAAAAGAAATAACTTATATGCCTAGGTAAAATATTTATGAAAGTTGAAAGATAAAATTGAGTTCTTAATTTCTGTGGCTACGTGACTGAATTTATCGCACATGAATCGAAAGTGTTCGGAGATTGAATGGAACAAACTAACAGCTACAAGAAATTCACGTATAAAACACTGATTTAGTATTACAAAACGACTTACTTTACACAAGTTTTTAAGGCCCCCATTTCCCAACCTCAGGCCACTACACAAATGGAAAATTGTGGTGCCTACACCGCAGCAGCTCTAAGGTCTATTATCCTTAAACTGCTTGCGCTTCAGAAATCACCAGCTCACTAATTGTATGCCTATCAAATTTTCTGTTCAATGATGCTAAGCTAATGAACTTACAAATGACCCTCTACTTCAAGGAAATCTGCACCCAATGCTCGAGTGGTTAAGCCATGGAGCTTAACCAATGCAGACTGGACCTTTTATTGGAAGAATGAAAGAGAACAGGAAGAACGAGTTGTTCTTGCTCACTAAAATCGGTATTCTTACTTGTAGCACATATGAGCTCCACTGCGCATCTTCGTGGCAACGGTGCATAAGCTGATATTTTGCTTCAATTTTAAGTGATTGGTGCGTGGGAGGCAGCATTGTTCGGATTTGATGATCCTGATGGTGTCCAAGCATAGATGAGCAAGCCCAGAACGAGAATGACAGCTCCAGCTACGAACCCCTTCGGAAGAGCAGAAGCGACGCCGATGTATGGGAGAGGCAAGGTGAACATATAGACTGCTATTGGCACTGTTTATGTGGAAATGAAAACGTTACTGACGATAAATAAATGAAAAGATATACGAGAATGGAAAAGGTGAATCATGGCATTGCTGAATTTTGACGTGTACGTTCTGAGTAACTTGTAAATGGAGAAAAACTACAAGGAACATGCCAGTAGATAAAAACTACAAGGAACATGCCAGTAGATGGTGACTTTCACAAAGATAACAAGGTTGGCTGAAGATTAGACGTGGCTGAAAGAGCTGATTACAGACCTAATTCAGCATACAGACTTTGAAGATGTCTTTCCACCTTATTTAGGGGAAGAACTTGCACATGTCAGTTTAGTTGATTGACCAACTTCACATAGAAATGAATGGAGATTTTACTAGAGAAGAACTGTGAGATCCCACATCGATTGGGGAGAAGAACAAAATATTATTTATAAGATGTGGAAATTTCTCCCTAGTAGACACATTTTAAAAACCTTGAAGGGAACCTCAAAAGGGAAAGCTCAAATAACACAATATCTACTAGCAGTGGACTTGAGCTGTTAAAAATGGTAGTAGGGATAGACACCGGGCGATGTGCCAGTGAGAAGGCCAAGCCCCAAAGGAAGGTGGACACGAGGCAGAGGCCAACAAAGATGCTGGGAGGATGGATTGGGGAGTCCCACATTGATTGGAGGAGAGAACAAGTACCAGCGAGGACGTTGGGCCCCGAATGGGGTGGCTTGTGAGATCCCATATCAGTTGGGAAGGAGAACGAAACATTGTTTATAAGGGTATGGAAACCTCTCCCTAGTAGATGCATTTTAAAAACCTTAAGGATAAACTCGAAAGGGAAAGTCCAAAAAGGACAATATCTACTAGCGGTGGGTTTAAGCTGTTACAAGAACATAGTCAATTTCTTATAGTGCTGTTGGACTCTTTAGAATAAGCAAAAGTAACATGAGGATGGGTAGAGAAGTGAGGAAGTACCTGAAAAAGTGGATGCCAAAGAAGAAACCACAGCGGATGAGATCTTGAGGAGATGCAACAATGAAATGTTAAACCCTATATTTACAAGAATAAAAAGAAGAGGTAGCAGTGGTGCACCATCACATCCTGTGAACAGAAAATCCTTTTAGTGTCTAAAAAAACACCGCATTTGAAAGTCCAAGCTCGCATCATCATGCAAAACTATCAATTCTCTGCTCCCTTGAACAGACCATAATTGAAACATGTGAGAGATGAAGACAAACTTACCACTTAAAGTACCATAATTCAGAAAACAGGCCGTGCCATCTCTAAGATAACTTGGCAGTTGACTAAATGGAATGCCCCATAACTTCGACAGGAATGGTAGGAGAGCCACTACGAAAATTGACTGCAGTTGACATGAAACAAAACTCCTTAATCTTCAATTTACAATAGAAAGAAGAAAAGAAATTTGGGATCAAGAATAGATGTATCTACCTGGAAAGCAGATCCAAAGGAATTTACGACAAATAAGTCCATCGTCCTGCCCTGCACAGAAGCAATTCAAATAGGAATTTTACTCCAAGCATTAAGGATGGACGCATCGATAATCCAACTATATGAAATATGCATAAATGTACTCAAGCAGCATGCATTTTTAAATTGGTTTAAACATAAGGCCAGTTTTCTGTCTAATTTTCAGATAAAGATAGGTTTACAAAACAGTCTTCTACTCTTGATTTTAATGATCAGACTAGATAAAACTTTCTTTAAAAATGTAATCAGGCAGATAATTGTTTCTTACCTTCAATTGACGGGAAGCATTCAAGAAGATGATTTCCTACATATAAAAATTTTCATTGTTAAATAAACAACAGGCGAATTCAACAGGGAAACCAACTATTATTTTGCCACAAACTACCTTCAAAACAGTATCAGCTGCTTGGAACAAGAATGAGATTATCATCAAAATGCTCCAAAATATACCGGCATCCTTCAGGGAATTTCCAGCGTTGGAACCACTGCAGATACAGACCAGCAAAAAAAACTTTTGGGAAAACAGAATGTATGATCTTACAACATAATTCGTGCAAGCAAAGTGGTTACAAGCAAAAATTCTGCCTGCTTAACCAGATGAAAGTGATGAAAGCATTCCCATGCATCAATAGTAAAGAATGATCATGTAGACATGCTAAGGATGGAAGAATACTCATTCAACTATAGAAACAAAAAGTTACTAGTTAATAGTACAAGGAAACATCTTTCGTCAAAATTCTATTCGCAAGTTCGGGAACCTATGTTCGTATAATCTAACGTTGGAAAGTCTAACTTTATGATTGGATTATGCACAAGAATGAGCTTTGACAAACAAAAGAGGAAACAGTTTATAATCCAAATTAAACTATGACAAACCTTCCTCTTCTAAAAGCATGGGTGGGTCGATTGATGCTACATGATTATTCTCTCCTGGAACGCTAGAGGATTGGGTGATGGCGAGAAAAAGACACTCATCAAAAGTGCCATAATCATATACAATCCTTCAATTGTTATTCTCCAAGAAATGAAGGTTGCTAGGGTTGATCGTTTTTTCATCAAATCTATTTGAAGTGGCAATGATGTTGGTTGGACTGTGCTTGATTCCATAGGAGTCTCGGTGTGAATCATCATCTTGTGGATGATCCAGCTTACTAGGTTTCAGAGATCACTAAAGGTGTTTTTTCTTTAAAGTCTTCTCATCTAACTTGCTGATGGATCCTCTCTTTGGCTGACAGGCATATTGGACCCACAAAAAAAAGAGGATAAACAACAATTCTGGGAAGAACTCACTGAACTTTCCTATTTATGTTCCGATTATTGCCTCTTGGGTGGTGATTTCAACACTATCAGATAGCTCAATAGTTATGCTATAACTCCCTCTTCACGAATAGGAAAGGTTTCGTGTAGTCCATTGATTGGAGCACTGCCCTCTTTTGTAATTTCATATCATCAACGAAATTGTTTCTTATCCAAAAAAAGGGATCTATGTAGTCCATATTTAGTTTATGAATATGTCGTTAATAGAAGTTAGTCGGTAGGCTACAAGATTGCTTTTAGAAATTCAAGATCATGTAAGCAGTGAGGTTAATAAATAACCCCACGTAAGCTCAACTTCCCAATTCATACTATCATATCTGACCCATCAGTAAAAGACCTTCAATGCCAATAAGCTGCAAGATTTTATTATTATCATCATTAACTAGATATTACATTGAACAACATAGTCCCAGCAATGAATGCAACATGCAAAGTCTTCACTTATCAAAAGAGTTCATAAATATTTTTAAATAATTAATATCCCTCTCTCCACCTTGAATTTATCCTTCTTAGCACATCACTTGATCAGTTAAAGTAAAGTAAGTCGTGTCGGTCGTAAGCTTTAGAAATACTGTCTCAAAGTTTAGCCGCAGTACTTGTTCGTTCACAATTACAGGAAATAAACAATTAAGATAAAACTGTTACTTCGAGCCTGAAGAAGTACTAATGGCCGATAATGAAAATTACCTCGCCACGGTGATGACTACACCAATGGAAACAAGAAAGCACCCAAAAAGTTGATTAGTCTTGTACCTCCGCCCAAGAAAAATAATTGACAGGAGAATCTGCCACACAAGAAAAGTCTGCAAACAAAATGAACCATGATAACTAGAATGCTTATTGTTTGTTTAATAATCCAATCGAAAGCATGCACGTGCTCCATTATTAGGATAGCATTACTTAATTCAGCACAAGCAGTCCTTGAAACGAGAAACAGATTTAATATTAAGGGGGAAATGCTCGCTGTTCTTTACCTGAGACAAAATTGGCGTTGATGCACCAGAAAGAATGGCTGATCAAAGGAAAATAACGAGTTATTTGAAAGGAATTCAAATTACAAATTACAAATTTGTAACAATAACAGATGCCACGATATCTGACTCAATAAATAATTAGCATCCGAAAATACTAAGAAAAATGCAACAAATTTAGGCCCCTTTTGATGATGATTTTGTTTTTTGTTTTTAAAAGTTAAAAGCCTTGTTCATAATTTATTTGCATATTACAGATATCTTAGCTACATTTCAAAAAAGAAAAATCCAATAATACTATTTCACTTATATATGTTTAAAAATGGGCTAAACTTATCCAAATGTATTATATATTTCGTATATAAGTAGTGAACATGTACTCATGCGCTCGCTATTAGATCTTAGGTAGTAGTCACCATGGCTTGAACTCGTTCTTATTAAGCCATTTATTATTTACATGATCTTTCTTGACCCGAGGTCAACCCATGGTGGTTAAGCACTTAATACATTATTGAAACACAAATATTATAATTTAAAGGAATTTTAAATAAGTATTATAAACAACAGATACACTAATCATATACTTGAAGTGGCATTTTTTAATGAATGCTAATTAATCATTAAACTACAAATGATATACTTAAAAAGCATTTTGAATGAGTGCAGACATACTATTAAAACACAAATGTTATATCTTAAATGAATTTTTGAATTAATCACAAATCTTAATCTTTTAAGTCCTCCATTTGAATCAAGAATGAAGAATAAACGATAGACTATGACCAAATTATGTTTAATATAAAATTAACATAGATATCTTAAAAATAAGAACATTGCAGAAGTGAGGGACTTATTAAGAAAAAGCATTACCTGTAGCTGCCATCCCTGTCGCAGCGCCAAGAGCTTCCAAGAGGCCAGCAACAAGATATGGGGCCTTCGGCATTGAAAGCATCTCATCCGTAACAATGCCAGCGTGATAGCGCATATACAATATGGAGAAGTATACAATTACATATCTGAAAAGATGAGAATTGAAAGAAATCAATTTAATCCAAATGCAATGAACCAGCAGCCTTGCTATGATAATCAGCAGAAAAAAGTCGGATTTATTGAGTTTCTTAAAACTTATAAAATGTGGGTATGACGCAGTAAAGCTCAAAACTTAGTACGATATTGTCCATTTTAAGCCTAAGCTCTCGTGGTTTTGCTTTGGGTTTCCTCAAAACAACTCGTACTAAATATCAATGAAAATGTATTCTTTACTTATAAAATCATGACCATTCTCTAAATTAGCTAATATGGAACTCCCTCCCGGCGATCTTCAACGACAGTCGAGCAAATGTCAATGTCAAGGGGTAATCGTGATAGTATGAAAATATGAAAAGGCAAATTTGTTCTATGCTTATCATGGGCTTTACGGATTTCTCAGAAATGAACAAACTAAGAGATACATCAATTTTTTGTTTTTCATTTATTAAATAAGATAAGAGGGAGGGGAAAAAAAGAGAAAAAGAGGAAAAGAGGGGCAAACTATGATAAAACTATGCTAATTGGGGGACCAGAAAGCAAATGAAGTAATACAAAAAGATGGGGATTTCCTTCCTATAAAATGCAGCAATAGCATTTGAAATTGACATGAAAAGCGAAAATCGAATATGTCATTCTCAGAACCACAAGGAAAGAAGCAAAACTCGCCACAGACTGTTGGATGTGACTGGGAAATGGAAAAGTACATATAGGAAAAGGACAATATGAAACGATATCGTTTCACCTATGATGATTAACAAGGGGCATATAATATGTGATATACATCCCAACTGGCCCCACCATTATATGTGCCCACTTTGTCAACCTTCAAAGCCTATTATTGATAATGAATTCTAGAGACGAACAAAAAAAAAATAATTTTTTCCTTTCTTTCTTTCATTTTTTGTAAACCCATAATAGCTTTCGTTAAAGTTTCATGGAATCTTAGTAATCCCTTCGATTCGATCATAAAGAATACGTTCACTAACAAAAATATGTCCTTTTTTCTTTTTCGAATCTTAAAAAATTCTTACCTTTAGGCAAATGTTCTCTAACAATGAACAAATGCACAACGACTTCTTTAACAATTTAATAATATTTTTCTTTAAAAAAAGTTTTTAAGGGATTATAATTAATGAAAGGACGAAATGTATCGATAGTGAGCGAAGGAATCCAGAGACCTATTTTCAAGCTGCCCCCGTTTTTATTGGCTAGAATTACTCAACTACAGAGTTTTAGTAGGAACTTTGTTACAAAATAATACTTTAAAAATATTAAGTTCAAAAATAAGAATAAAAAAAATACTCTATAAAAAAAAAAAAAAAAAAAAAAAAAAAAAA